TTTCCTTTCCTTTCCTTTCCTTTCCTTTCCTTTCCTTTCCTTTCCTTTCCTTTCCTTTCCTCACCTCTCCTCTCCTCTCCTCTCCTCTCTTCTCCTTTGCTTTTTTCCTTCCCCTTTTCTTATTGTTTCAATATGGTACACAAACATTTGTGCCAATGAACTTTGAAAATCCAGAAAACCAAATAAAGGAAGTTATACAAACCCAGCTTCTGCTAAGGTAGAGCCAAATGGGTAGCACTACTCACTTCTATCAGTGTCCACACAACAATCTTGCTATTATAACTGGTAACTCAAGCGTTGCTTAGCTCTGAATGGAAACTTATGAAATGGCTTATGAAATGTGACCTGGCCTTCTGTGAAACCTTTAGGAAGTGATTGTTAATATTTTCACACAAGTTCTTTTGAGCACTTTGATGGAGGATTCCTAATTATGGGTTGCACTCAGTAAAGGGACTTGTCAGGAATTAGGCTAGCAATCTGACATAAGATCAAAACAATTTTGATTAGGCATTTGAACGTGTGTGTGTGTGTGTGTGTGTGTGTGTGTGTGTAAGACTGAAGGGTTTTAGATGTTATTTCATTGCATTTGGACTATGACTGAATATATTTTACCCCAATATGGCAACGGGGGGGGGGGGGGGGGGGGAGTGAAACATGGTATGAAATGTGTTAAATATACCAATAGGAAGATTTCTGTTACCAAAATAGACTTTAAACACCATTTTGGGGGGTTTTCCTATAAGTGTGAGTGTGCATCTGCTTGTTTACATATATTGTACATATAAGTATGTGTATATTTATAATTTCTCATGCAAAGCTATTTAATATTTCTACCCTGATATACATTTTACACATTTATCTATTTGTAGGACCAATGACACCGGTTTCCTTTCCTTTAAAGAACATTTACCTGTGAACCAGATAGTTATCACTGATACAAACAGACCTAATTCTGAAGCTGCCTGGAGAATTGGTCCTCTTCGTTGCTATGGAGATAGTGGGTATCAGCTCTTTTCAGCATCCTTATACACAAACTCTATAAGAAGCTGGTGTATGTGTCTTTGTGTGTTTGTGTGTGTGTGTTTGTGTGTGTGTGAGGGACGCAGTTTTCACTAGTGATAACAGATACCTTCTAATAATTGCATTGTCTGATTGTTTCCTGAAATGAATTGTACAGTTTCTAAAGAAGGATATTATTCTAAATAATTTGCAATAAGGCTTTGAGTGCTATAGGTTCAAATTAAAGGTTTGTCTCTACAATGGGGGAATAAACTTACATATGAGAAATGAACAAGCATGATATGAATACAGTAGGACTTCCTCGTTCATATCCTTCAGCAACTAATTAATACTGAGAACTTGCTCTCTTCATTAATTAGAAGTAATATCCAACCATCCTGCCCATTAGTAGTTGAAATTATTATCGGCTATCAAATTTTATGATTCTCTTTTAAAGCTGCTGGTGTTGGTTAAAGCTGGTGGTTACCATTTTCTCCTATACAAAATTCCCCATTTTGTTCAGTGTGAAGGACTTCCTTTTGCATTTCCTTGTTTCCTCCAACAATTCAGTTCACTGTTTGAAAATGTTTATCAGAAGAGAAAAAGTTCTGGCCTTTTCTTCTCCGTGTAGATACATATAATTATATCCTTCTGTCTGCCTTCCCTTAGTTCTGCTTAGGTCAAATTAAAAAGTACCCCATCAACTTTTAAAAAATCCTTTTTGAATGATGCTCAGTATGTGATTTGCCTTTTTCCCAGCAATTATACATTTCCTGGGTTTAGAGCAAATATTAAATTTTATGTTTAGCAAAATGTAATAATCATGTTCAGACAACATGAACTGCCCTAAGCATCTATAGCTTAACCTGATGCTTTGATTCACACAATAAATAAGACAGTGCTTGGATACCTATAACACATTGGACAAAAAAACTACTCTGCCCTATTCTTCAGTAGAATTGTGTTTTGTGCAAATCTAGCCATTGGTCAATTAATCCAACACATCCTTTCTGTGATATATGTAAATCTATTTTTTAACCCAATGCAGTTCTCTGTGAAATTGTTTAAATGTATTTTCTATATTAATTCCTATTTATTTTGTGAAAAGTTTTTTTGCTTTTTTTTGTTTTAATCGCCCAAAATAATATGAAACTATCAATAAATTTAATCTTCCCAATACTTTTTTAAGCACTTCATGTCTTTAAAAACAATTTGGTCCCTATTAAGGTCTATAGAGGACCTCACCTTTGGCCTCACTCATTTGGAAGAACTCTGGCTTATTCTTTCTTTATCACATCCCTGAAATCCTCAGTTCTCTTGGTCAGCAACCTGGTATTCTATAAAGTCATTACTCTACTGTAATCTACTGTAGACTCAACAAACATTTTCTCCAAGGAACACAGATTTATTGTACATCAGTCAGATAGAAGTATCTGGAAAGCTTCACAAGTTTTACTGGTTTTTCACCACGGTTTTTATTTTTCTCTATTTTAACATAGAATTTGAATGATTTTGTATCAAATGTAAGAGAGGGTTATGCTGTCCTAACTTATCTGCCCTTTGCAAAACTTCCATGGGTGCTTAACAAACTATTTTTTTAACTTCTTGATTCCTTGAAAGTTTATCACTGGAGTTGAAGTGCTGCTACTTCAGCTGTGTGTATGTATTGTATGGGGAATGATATAATTTCACAGGGTAAACGTTATATGTGACTTTAGAAAGAAGTGTTTCCCAATTATCACCTGACCAGTGCACAAACGTGGCTGTTTGTGGTCATGCTAGTGAGTGTAATCCACAATATGGTGACTCTCAGTGATGGCATCCAAATTGCATGATTTTAGTCTAGTGATGCCTGACCATTATGCTATCAGGTTTTTGAAGTAGCACAAGATACACTTCTTTCAAGTATTTATAAACTAAACTTTGAACCTGGCATAGAATGACTCTAAAGATAAGTTTTTTGTCTGTTTCATAGAAGTGATTTCAATGTTATGCATCTAAAAATCTATATTTTTATTAGTGCTTTACTATTTATTTTTTGTATGATTTGATTCATTAATTTGGATGCAGTCATGACAAATAACAAAATGTATAAATGAATGGATGGATAGATTGGTGGGTGAGTGAGTGAGTGAGTGAGTGAGTGAGTGAGTGAGTGAATGATGCCCATACCTGCAATGCAGAAGCCCTAACATATTTTTCCTCCTAGGTTTCATTTTTCTGTTTTAATGAACTCTGACTAAAGGTTACAGTATTTCTTTCATTCTTCATTTATTTGCCACATATAATTAACTATAGAAAAGTTTGTGGTTCTTTGCAGGACAGTTCTGGAATGCAGCTTCTTTCAGCACCGAAGCTTCATACCTTCTCTTCCCCACTTTCCATGCCGAGTTCACTGCAGACATTTCTTTCTTCTTCAAAACAACCAAAATGTCTGGAGTCTTTTTGGAAAATTTGGGAATGAAAGATTTCATCAGGGTTGAAATAAGCTGTAAGTTTATCAACTGAAATTGTAGTGTATTGTTATTTTTTTTGCAGATCTTCAGTTTAGGTCATGAAATGTCTATGAAAAAACTAATTCATCCAGGTTATGGTTGTCCCGAAGATGTTTTTCCAAAAGGCAACTAGACTTTCTTGGTTTCTTCCTTGAAAATGCTTTGCTTCACATTCAAGAAGTGAAATATTTTCAAGGTGCCTTGAACCATTACCCCAAACAGAAGTGCATTCTTCTTCAAAGAGTTTCATCCAAATTAAGATAATATTATTATCAACTCTGCTGGGCAGCTGTCCCTTATTTGAAGCAGCACACAAAATTTGTACTTTTCACAGATAGTATACGAGTTATCAGCAGATTGCCTCTCCTTCTCTTCTTAGGTGATGATATCCTTTTGGAAAGCAGCTGGCATACCAAATGAGGAAAGGGGAAGGTTCCAGAATGCCCAGAGTGTCATAATGGCCTGTGAAATAAACTATCTCTCTTTGAAATTAAATTGCAATTGCTGCCTAAAGTATTAAAGCAGGGATTCCCAACCCCCAGGTTGCAGCCCAGTACCTGGCCACAGCCTGTTTGTAACTGGGATGCACAAGCAGCAGCCTCTACTTGCACTGCTTCATTTGTGTGAGCAGTGGGCATAAATAATGCTGCGCCCTCAAGCACGTATGCCTGCTGTTTGCATAGAACCATCCCCCACCCCCCGCCGCCTATCCACAAAGCCTGAAAGGTTGGAGACCACTGTATTAAAGGAAAAAAAAAACTAATTTAAGTCATCTTTTTATCTGCTGTTTTAGTCTATTAATAGAAGATGTTGTGTTGTGGATTTAAAATGAAAGAAGGCCTTTCTGTTAGATGTTCCATCAGGCTGAACAAACCAAGAATGAATTACCATCATTTTGTAATATGGTTGTAATAACTTTGACATAAAATTTAATAAAATAAAGCCCCCAAGGCCCTTTGATTCATTAAACCTTTGGTAAAAGCCATAGCACATTATCACTAGATAATGAGGTATGGTTTAGTGTTAATTGCAGACGATCTCCTATTTGGGTGATACTTCAGTGTGTTGTATTTCATTCTCAAGGCTCTTATGTTTTCTTTAAAGTATACAATAAAAGCGAGACATTGACATGAAATTACATCAGAATAATGCAATCTGTCAAGATGATGGGTTAGCATGTGCACTGTAGAAATGAAAGAAATATCTGATGCAACGCTTAGTCAGTTTCTCCACTGGGTTATGATTTTCTCGTAGGGTAAATTATTATTCAGAGCTAAATGGCTGTGAGTACAGTGCACAAATCAGTTGAACTGTAAGGAGATCAATGTCATTGATTTCCTTCCATGAATAGAAGAGAGTTCCCAATCCCTATGTCTAAGAAAATGCATTTCTATGGATTGAAAGATTTTTGTGAGTTATGTACATACATATATCAATGGAGTGCAAACTTATCAGAAATCTATCTTCTCCCTTACATAGCTAGACGTACAAATTAGGGTCCAAATGAATGATTACAGCCATACTTCAGCTTTATTTTGTTAGTGTAATGAAACCCTGATGAAAATAATGTTGCTTCCATGCCCTAAACTTTTTAAGAAACTGGAAAAGGTTGATAAATCAGGGTTACAATTTCTGCCCAAAGGTATGTTTGGTGTACATACATTGTTATTATAGATCTCGTGTTGGCAATGTACCAGATGTTAGCTCTGCTCTTGTCCTCATGGAGATGAACCTCTATTAATCTTGGAATTGATTTTGCCCTAAATGTCATACTGCCAACTCTCTCATCTCAATTAGATTTCCAGTCCACAACTATGGTCTATGTACCCCAACTAATCCTCAGAAAATATGAGGTTGATTGCAGGGGTTAAGGTTAGGATTGATTAATTATTCAATTATATATGTCTTTCTTAGAACATAAAAATAAAAGACTTAATTCTCTCACCTGTTTATTTTTTCCTATTTATTTGGTTCTAAAGGCCAGTGTCTGTAACCTCCAGTTCTTGACAGACTGAACTAGGCAAGACTCAACATATCAATGATTTAACTAGCAGAATAACCTTTATGGCATTCATAGTTTGATTCTACTTTTCTTTAAATCATTAGGAATAGAAACTTGCTCTCATGTGTTTCTCTGACTTTCAACAGAATAAAAAGTGATATTTTAAGGGAGGGAGGAAAATTTAAAGAACAGTTTTAACAGCATGTGTCATTAAATTTAATAATACAGTTTGAACAAAAGTTCTAGTGTTTGAAACATGTTTAATACTGTCTATAATATATCAACAAGTTGTACATCTGAATATAGCAAATGTAGGTGGAAACCATCCATTAAATGTTCACTTGCCAAAAATTAGGGCTGAGAATTTGCTATAGTTTTTTTAGACCTCTGTGTATTTTCTACAAGTTTACAGGCTATTTGAATGAGAATTATTGATTTTTTAAAAAAACAAACGTTAAATAAATAACACAATATTTGTGGCAATGTTCTATCTCACTGATCCATCACAAAGCAAGTACATACCTTCTATTTCATGAGTATAGCATACCTTCTATTTCATGAGTATAGCATACCTTCTATTTCATGAGTAATGCGTGAACGTAGAGAAAATGAGAATAACTGACCAGGAATTTGATTTCACAAAGAAGGTTTAGGTCTGTGGATATGTACCATAATATATAGATGATTCACTATGTGGATTCAATAATCACATAAGGTTTATTGTTTCAAAAATCTTAAAATATTACTACCAAAGTAATGTACTTCTTGTTATCAGCAAAACATACTAAGTTTCACCTTATGCATTCCAGCTTCTAAAGACATAATTTTCACAGTTGATGTTGGAAATGGCCCTGTAGAGGTTACGGTTCAATCCCCCATGCCCTTGAATGACAACCGGTGGCATTCTGTGCATGCTGAAAGGAATCTTAGAGAAACCTCTCTTCAGGTAGACAACTTTCCAAAGAAGACTTTAGAAGCACCTGCTGAAGGACATTTTCGATTGCAGCTAAACAGTCAATTATTTGTGGGTAGGTACAATCATTGGTACTATCCCCTCCTTTTATTTTATTTTTTTACAAATGCTAGTCACTTAAGGTAAATGAATATTCTTTTAACTATTGGATATTTGATATTACTGATTCCTCAATGAATTTGAATGGAAAGTTTAGATATTTCTACTATTTGAAGATGAATTTAACAACTTGTTTTTCTTGAATTTGTACACTGATATAAATTGTCCCACCAATGAATAACAAAACCAAAGACTAAACCATAGAAAAAAGCTCAGACAAATTCACAGAAAAAAATTATAATAGAGAAAAAGAGAAAAAAATTATAACATTCCATTCTCAGACATGCATATAAATTACTATAGTTCACTGCCAAATTAATAGTGAACAAGAATCAGCAAATCCACAATCCTAGCTCTTTAGGTTACCATAATATTTTGTCTCCTTATGTGACAGAATATACAGCAATAACATAAAAGATAGAAAACGTGTTGTTGATATACCAAAAGATTAATTTTTGCATTCCTTTTGATACCTATTCAAGAAACAGAGTCCCAAAGGGCTTTTAGTCACAATTTTTGCATATTCTTGAGATTATTCAACAGGTGCTTATTGAATTCTCAAAATTTCTCACCACTATATAATATTTAAGATAAAATTGAAATGCAAGTCTTTGTGAGATGATTTTCACTATCTTATGTTTTACGAATAGAAATCCTACACTCTCCAAGTTATTTCTCATGCTTGAATTTTTTGGTTTGGTTTTGAACTGCAACTATTGCAACATATGGAGTCAATTTTCTACACCCAATATTCTAGATCTATGTATTTTTCTAGTTGCAAAATTATCAAATGAAGATGAAGTCAACAGAAATGATAAAGCTGGAGACTTAATTCATGGGAATCTCATGATTTACAAACATATAAGTCTAAGTACAAATCTCCAAAACCTATGTCTATATTATATTTTAGGTTACTAATTTTATTTCAATTGTTTCCACCACTTATACTATCATTGCACATTAGACTCTCACTGTATTGCAGAAAGAACATCCTGCTTGATAATGAGGTCAAGAATGTATGTTCAATTAACAATACTGGAGGTGGCTAATGGAATAGAGAACCCACCTCCTCCTTTTGTGCATTTTGCTCCTTTCCCCTCTATCCTGCTCAGTTTCATTTTAATTGAATTTTTAAATATAGGATCTTTATTTATCATTTTGTTTGTTTTATACGGCATTTTATTCGATGTCTATAAGGTACCTAGAGATGAGTTGGTAGAACACAATTTTTAGAAATAACTAAATAAATACTCCCTTGTACATTAATATGGAATCAATGGGAAATATATATTTTACAATATTGTACAATGAAACCTTAATAAGAATTTCATTTCTTAAAGGATCAGTTGTTAAAATATAAGCTTTACCTTGCTTATACCTGAAACAGGAGCATCTGCATCCAAACAGAAAGGTTTTATGGGATGTATTCGCTCTCTACATCTAAATGGACAGAAACTTGACCTTGAAGAACGAGCCAAAGTGACTCCTGGTGTCAAACCAGGGTGCTCAGGTCATTGCAGCAGTTATGGAAACATTTGCCAGAATGGAGGGAAATGTGTGGAAAAACCCAATGGCTACTTGTGCGATTGCACCAATTCACCATATGAAGGACCATTTTGCAGAGAAGGTAGGATGGCTGAATGGATTCTTAAAATTCCTTTTTGCTCATCCAGTTCACCTTGACCAAACTATATTATACAAAATGTCACTTTCTAATTTAAATTATCTAGATCAGTGGTTCTCAACCTATGGTCTGCAGACCCCTGGGGGGCCAAGATGTCATCAAAGGAGCCCATAAAGTCTTGAAGAAATGTTATTATTTGAATCTTGAATTAGGTCTTTGGGGTCTGTGGCCATGGTCCATGGCCTCAAAAGGTATTTAAAGGGGATCCATGGTGAAGAAAAGGTTGAGAACCACTGATCTAGGTTCTCAATAAATCTTGCATAAATTAATATAATATTTGGGTGAGAAGATGTGCCAGCTTTTTTCTTTGTTCAAAACCCCCACTAGATTCTACACAAAGGTTCCATAATAATAATAATAATGTATCTGATTTCAGAGATACATATATGGAGATTAGTAATCTAGATATAAAAAATAAATTGAAACCTGGAATGAGGTCATGTCTTCCAGAACACAAAACTATTTTAATTGTCATGACTTTTCTCATTTGAAAACTCAAATAACAAACAAGCAAAAAACTAGTTGAAGAATCCCTTGATGATTTATACTTTTATATGTCCTGTGGAAGTAACTTCTCATGGCTTGGGAATTAATTATTTTTGGTGTACTTACTTTTGTAATTATATGTTAATGCACTAAGATTATCATCTGAGAGGAAAAAATGGAACACACTGTTCAGAAAATGAAGACAATGTGTATTTGTCAGAACTTTATATATATTAATTTCTTATAGTGTACGAGAAAAAAACTTGGGCTTTAGATGGCATTTTAGATGGAGTGGAAAACCCTAATGATCCTCAATCTCTTTTTTAATAAAGATTATAGCCTGTTTAAGCATTTTAGTTCTAATTGTTACTGCCTCTTGCAAACTGGCAATGGCCCATTAACAGCAAGTGATCCTTGGCTACTTAAAATGGTTAGAAGAACATCATATAAAGTGCACAAGTCCTGTTTGAAAAATGAGCATGGTAAATAATAGAGTGCCCTCCATTCAAAGAAATGAGCTTAACTGCATTTTCATATTTTCAAAAAGATTTCATCTTTACACTGACAGCTTAGTCTAAACTAAAACATTACATTATGTTTAGTGACAAACTAAACATCACAGCATGAAATGGAGCTTGATTTGAAAAGACCCTTCTCTGACCCGGCAGACTTCAATCACCCTTCCTCAGTCTCCCCCATATTTACTTTCCTTTTGGAGAGAACAAATTATTTTGCTAGGTGAAGAGATCAAGAGTAGCATATTTTTGTGATCTTCCAAAGTCAATTTTAGTGAGTGTAATTTTTTTAAAAAATTTTCTAATCAACATGGCTTGTTTACGTTTTTCCCTTTTCCTAAAATAAGTCACACTGACAAATATTTTGACTTTTCATAGTGATTGTCACTGAGAAACCAAGAAAGCATGAATTAGAAAAGCACACAGCCTGCCAGGATCCATTCTATTATTTCCTTGACTGTTGCCAATGATTATTTTATACGACGTTTAAATATTTGAAAATGTTGCCGCTACTTCCCAGTATTCCAAACAATGAAACCCCCTAGGCAAAGTATTCATAAGCCTTCACTGAAAACCGCAACCTGCTGGGAGTTTGTCCTCCTCTATGGACTCACCTCTCAATTTTTACTGACTCACTTCTTTCAGTGAATCCAGAATCCATTCTCCTCCATATGTTTCAGCCTCATTTGGCCCCATGGCTTTTTCTACAGCCAACCAGGTAGCAACAGAGAAATACTGATATTATACTGCATGTTCAGTAAAATGCTTCAGGCTGGCAAAAGATTATCTGGTTCAATTATCATACTTCCTCTGAGAAAGAATACACGGACAGTCCTCGACCTACACCAGTTCATCTAGTGACCATTCAAAGTTACAATGGCACTGGAAAGGGTGATGTATGACCACTTTTCACGCATGACTGTTGCAGCATCCCCATAGTCACATGATCAAAATTCAGACACTTGCCAACTGACTCATATTTATGATGATTGCAGTGTCTCAGGTTCATGCGATCCCCTTTTTCAATGTTCTGACAAATAAAGTCAATGAAAGAGGGAAATTCATTTAACAACTGTGTTATTAATTTAATAACGGCAGTGATTCACTTAACAACTGTGACAAGAAAGATCATAAAATGGGGCAAAACTCACTTAGCAAATGCCTCACTTAGTGTTGTGGTTTGCTGGCAGCCGGTGCAGCCGGCAGAGGTATTGGATAGTGAGGATGAAAGGGAACCAGTCAGGGAGTCTGGTGAGGACTTGGATGAGGGTCCTGCATCTGATGCAGGGATGGGGCCAGGACTATCTGAGAGTGGGGTGCTGCCTTTGGAGCCTTTGGAGTCTGACAGCAGCGAAGCAGAGGACCCAGGGGAGCCTTTTCCCAGTGCACATATGCACAGAGCTGCTAGAAGCTGAAGCAGAAGGGGCAACTTGGGAGTAAGGCTGGGAGGTGATTGCCCCTCCCATAAGGGATAAAAGTCAGTTCTCAATGACAAAGAGGTTTGCAGGAAGCAAAGCAGTTCAGTAATTTCCGAGTGCATCTTGAAGCTCTGTGCTCTGGTCATGGTTTATGTTAAGCCTTAATCGGACGTCTGTTTGTTGTCAAGCATTCTACAGCACTGAAAAGCGTGCTCTTATCTGGAGGAACTGTGTATAATTACAGGAACTGTGTATAATAGTTTTGGCTATGAATGCAAGTAATTCCCAGCATCACATTAAAATAAGTTTTACTTTTAAAATCAGTGTGTTTTATTAAGTTTGACGAAGCCTGGGTCAGAACACTTAGCAACAGAAATGTTGGGCTCAATTGTGGTTGTAAGTCGAGGACTAACTGTATTTAGATTGTCAGATTTTGCATCCATATTGCAAATAAGGGGAAATAAAGATCCATCTATGGAAAGATTTGGATGTTCTTGGTTCATGTGAAATTCATATTTACCGACTGTAGACTGTAAAACACAAAGCACACACAAATGCATTTGTTTTGTTGATTGTAAAAATTCAATTTCAACAGCTCCAATAGTTTTCAATCTACTGCACTGAATCTGATTTGTGCATTTTCTTTGTATTTTTAGAAGTCTCTGCCGTGTTTGAAGAAGACACTTCTATTACCTACACATTCCAGGAACCTTATCCTGTAACTAAAAATGCAAGTTCTTCCTCTTCGGCCATTTATGCGGGTACATCCATATCCAAGGAAAACATTGCTTTTACTTTCCTGACAGCAAATGCTCCAAGCCTTCTGTTTTACCTCAATGCTTCTTCTCATGAGTATCTGGCTGTTATTCTGTCCAAGAATGGTAAGTGTGAATGTAAAGCTTAACAATTCCATGACAATATAGCTTCAGCAGGACCTACTCAGAAAACAAAATTGAAAGGAAGCTTTGGAGCCGGATTGAATAAATACTGTCATGTTATGAATTTTAATTACCAGGCTAATCAAATTTTCTACTCTTGAACTTCCACACAGAACCATTAAAAATATGTCTTTTCTTAAAGAGCCATATTGCTGAAGGTAAATAATTCTGTGATTCACAGTTGCTGACAATGTATAATATTATTTGCATTTGGCAGAAATCCATTTGCTTCACATAATTTTTATGAAAACGAAAAAGGCTCATCCTCAGGGGTGGGATCCAACCAGTGTAAAACCACATAAAACGTGATTTTACATTTTGCGCGCACGTGTATATCATCGTCAGCTAGCTGCCTGGATAGCTGAGCAGCACTGTGTGTAGTTGCGCAGCGGTTGAAAAAGCCCCTTTTTCCTGCTTTTTCAACTGCAGCTGGGTCACACAAAGCAGCTGCGGTTGAAAAAGCAGGAAATAAAGGTCAGGTAAGAGCCCGGTTGGGTGGGTGGGCCAAAACAGCAGCAGACATAGAACTGGTTCTATGTATGCTCTCTGTCTGCTGTTCTTCAGAACTACCGGTTCTACAGAAGTGGACAGAACTGGTAGAATACCACCCCTGCTCATCCTCCAGGTAAGTATACCTAAGTGTGCAAGAGTGTCCATGGAAACACTGATCCAGTGATTCTTTGACACATTATATTTCTATATTTCTACTTTTTTAAATTTATCTGTTATTAATTTTGTCATAGTTAACTTCAATCTTCATCTCCTTCATTTCTTTACTTCCTCTTCTGTTTTATCTTGATTAGTGATAGTTTAATATTGTTCTTTTATTTCTGTAATGAGGATAAAAAGTCCTGACATGGAGAAAGTCTACACAATCATGTTATTAACCCTAAATTGATAGGTTACAGTGAATTCCTGATGTTTTGCATTCATTTTTGAATGTTGAGAAATTTTTGTAACAATATTCTTCTATAAGTAAAGATACAAAACAATTCAACCTCAGTTTTTATTATAATCCTCAACATTTTAATGTAGTTTTCTATTGTTCCTTCCCATGTGTATTTGGTAGGCATATCCACAATATATCTACACGTTTTTAAAAACTTCTTGTATACGAAGATATACAGTATAAAAATCCTAAACTCCCCCCTCATGAAAATATTTCATTCCCCATTTTTTCAGATACCTAGTTATCCAACTATTAATCTTAAAATTTCAGTATCGGTTGCATCTCAGTGCAAAGAACAGTGGGAAACTAATAAGCTTTCTTTATGACCTTTACAGTGAGTTTGGATAAATCCCATTCATTGCACTGCCTTACTTCAGAGATGGTGGTGGGCAGATTCATAGCAGCTATTTGCAGTGTTAAATACAAATAATATGTATATTTATCTAGCCTATCATATTTGTAAAACCGGAATCAAAAGAAGCCTCATGCAGTGCAGAAGATTCAAATGCCTAATAAATTTCACCACTGCAGAGAAAGTTGCACCATTTCATTACTTTCTTTGTAGTTCTTCAGCTTCTCAGAAGACTCAGATATTTTTCCCTAACAAAAGTTGAACCAGATATTTGAATAGGCCCAGATTGCTTTTCCTCAATGGTGGAACTATAATATATAAATTAGACACTGACATTTTAATTCAAGGCTTGACTAGTAGAATTGATAAGTGTCTAGATAAGTCTGGTTCTAGAAATTTACAGTGACATCACTAATTATAATTTATTTTGTTCCATTACATTCCCTGATTGTTCCTGGAAGTTAAACTTCATTCATTTGTTTATGTGGCCAGTGCTTGGTTTTGTCATTACTGACCTTCATTTATTTCCTGAAATATGCTTTCCAATAATTCTTAGATCAGAAAAAAATGGTATTTCAAATGAATAATATGGAAGCACTGAATAAAAAGTTTAACTATCCAACCCTCAATCTAACATGACAATAATTCCTAATAATAATAATAATAATAATTCCTAATAATAATAATTATTATTAGGAATAATAATAATTCCTAATAATGCTGGTGGAGCTCCTGCTAACTGATCCGGAGCCCTCCTCTCCTTCCCCAGAGAAGTGAAGCTCTTTCCATCGAGCCCTATTAACCACACTGGTGGAGCTCTTGAACTGGATCACTTGGAGCCAGCGGAATGCAAACAACGTACCTTCATTTAAATCCCTCACACACCTGATAGAAGTATCTTCCACGCCAGACAACGTGTTTCCATTAATATCCCCCACACAGTTTCCCCGGAGCCACATCAGACAGCTGGCAGGGAGAAACAAGGAGGGAGGAGAAAGCCCTGAGGCTCTTAGGAGCCGAAAGTCACCCTGGATGAGTGGTAAAGGCAGAGGAATGCTTCCGTGGTCGCAAGGAGAGGAGAGTCTCATCGACTGACCCGAAGAAAACCCCTCCATCCGAACGAAAAAGAGAACTACCAGCATGGCTAAATCGAAGCCAGGAAGGCAGCTGAGACAGAATTGAAAAAGAAAGGAAAGATCTTGTAACAGCGTGCTTAGTCTTGGTAAGAATCACTCCAATTTCTGCAGTGGAATTTTCCTTGGAAAGTGGGACTCAAAGGAGAAAAATAGCTGCAATTAACGATCTGGAGTGACTGTCAGATTTAGTTAAAAAAAAAGATATTGCAACTAGAAGTAACTTTAAAAGTAAAGGACAGATTGGATTGGTTAACCCAAATTTCTGGACTGTATTTTTACTACTACTCAACTTGAAGAACTTTAGGAAACTATTGGAAAACAATCTTATTCAGAGACATATTGATTGGAGTTAAAGTGTTTTAATTAAGCGAGTTTTGCTCTCTTTCAAAAATCCAGCGTGCTTTGAACATTTTGTTACAGCCTATTGTTTACAAAGTAATAGCAGCAGCAATCAGAGCAATAAATTCCTCCCACCCAGTAAATCACAGCTGCTAGTAAAACAATTAACCCTTTCCTTGCAGACTCTCAATACTACCTCATTACTTTAATCAAACACTGATTAATTCATTACCTCAAAACTAACAACTTTTCTACCTCATCACCTATATCAGAGATTAGATAATCAATTTCTATAAAATATTTCATTAATGGTTGAATTGATTTATTGTTTTAATTGATTAGTGTGATTAGAGTGTTTAGTGCAAATAGTGTGATTACTGATTAGTTTAAAAGATCAAGATTCATGTAATTTAATTGATTAGTAAAATCAGTGATTTAGTGAATTTAATTGAACAATGTGATTAATGATTAGTGTAATTAATTGATTAGAGATTAGTGTAATTAATTGATTAGGCTGATTGTTGCTTAGGAAAATTATTTGACTAGAGAGATTACTGCAATTGATTGATTGGTGTGATATTGGCTATACTGATTACCCAAAATTGTTCCATTAATTAATTTAATCAATGTACCATCTTAACAATCCTACCATGCCAAGAAAAAAATCCAATGCCAAACCACAACCTAAAGAGAAAGTAATCCCCACCAATGAACCACAAGACTCCTGCACATGCCTTAAATGCTACAAAATTCTAAAGGATAATGAAAATTCCATCAAATGTTCTCTATGTAACAAATACACTCATCATGACTGCTTGGGATTACCCGAGCAAATGATTCAATACCTAGAATGATCCAATGAGTTTCCATATCTCTGCAAATCATGCAGACCCAAACTGGATCTGTTGGAAAGAGTTGATACCATTGAAGCACGAATAACATCCCTTGACACCATAGTAGCATCCCTGGATGCCTTGAAAGAAAGATTATCCAACCTTGAAAAAAAAAGACACAACGCAAAAACCTGAACATCCAATAGCTACAAACCACATCTCTACCCAACAACCACAACTCAATCCACAACCTAATCCACAAAAAAACATAAGCCAGACAAATAATGATATCCCAATCCTCATCAGAGAAGCTGTTGAGCATGAACGGAAACATCCAAACGCCATCTTATTTGGTCTAGAGGACATTAATGATAACGATGACATCACAACTGTCCGAAACATCATCAGTGATTATCAAGCATCAACCATCTCCCCTGATGAAATACTTGACATTTCCCGCATTGGCTGAGAGCTCAAAAACAGAGAAAGCTCTGTGGCCAACGCTTCTGCAGGGTCATTTGCAAAAATGAATCAAGCAAACGTAAATTCATTTTCACTATAAATTCACTCGCCAAAACCAACACCAACCATAAGAACCTCCGTTGTCGCCCTGACCTAACCATACAGCAACATGCCCGCTCCCGTGTACTCTGCACTGAACTCAAAAAACATCCAGACAATGGAGAGAAGGACCTGTACATTGACTACCATGCTGACTGTATTAAAAGTAAGTCACACAACCCACGACTCAGCTTTAACCTACCTCAACCCATCCACCATCACACAAGACTAGGCACACACGCCCCTAACTACCTCAATTCCAACTACTGCTGGCCTTAAATGCAAGCTACTCAATGCAAGAAACCTTGCAAATAAAATAACTGAATTTCTCCTCTTACTAAATATGGCTAAATTCAACATCATATTTGTCTATGAAACATGGCTCAACGCATCTCTCCCTGACTCCATTACCGCAGTAAGAGACTATCATGTTTACCGATCAGATCGTGAAATTCATAGAGGAGGTGGTGTTGCTATCTTCTATAAAAAGTCCTTACATCTAAAAAACATCCAAGTTACCCAGGAGCTTGCTCTTCCTGAGACCGTCATCTGTGAACTATCCTTAAATACCGCATTTCGATTCTTACCATGTTACAGAGTACCTGATTATGACATCGAACATATAAACAATCTAAATACACTACTAACATGGGCAGCATCCTGCCCACATGCTTTTATCTTTCTTGGTGATTTCAATCTACCTCATATTGACTGGACCCTAAATGAATGTACAACTGAACCCATACACACAACCTTCTACAATGCTGTTACAA